AATGCTTGTGAGACCTGGGGACTAAGGATTTATCTTCATATTTTTATTTTGTTTTGCTTTTATTTTTATTGTTTAGTTTTAGTTTTTTGTTTCTTTTAAGGTGAAGGTAGCACCATGTTAAGGTAAATGGAATTGTGAATAAGAAAATTTTGCAAGTAAAAGAAAAGAAAAAAAAGCATGTATTTTACGCCAAATAAATAAATATATCATAGTTTTATTTTTTTATTTTGAAGGTATCAGAAAAACTATATTCCCTATATCTGCATATAACTTGAACTAAGATTTTATACAGAGTCACACACGCAAGCCCACTTATACGTACACCTATATGCATACCTACTTACACCCGCATACACACCACAATATTCATAAAATAATACATAGTTAATAGCATACACATATTTTTTTTTCGGTAGTATATCTTATTTTAGCACAAGTGGGATTCAATATTGAACGTTTTATATTAAATCGGATTAAAATCTAAAAATAGATATAGTTTTTTTTAAGTAAATATTCTCTTAATGATTACACTATCTCGTATTGATTTATTGAAGTTTTTCGGATTTGTTTGAAATATGTTTTTATGTTTACGGCTATGTATTTTTTTATAATATCTATTTTTAAGATTACACATCTCAACTGTTGGTACCAATCATGGAATGAGTAAAATTGTGAGATATATCCGTCAGATAAAAATATAAAACAATTCCAAAAAAAAAGGTGTTTGATCATTGAACAACCTATAATTATATATCAAGCTAATAAAATCGCAGTTCAAATTATATGCTGGTATAGGGGAATATAGTTTTACCTATAAAAAATAAAACTATGAATTAAAAATGTATTTTTTTTCTACATAATTTTTCAATTCACAACTATCAGGAATACCAATAATCATAGAGCGTGCTGTCAGGAACAAGAATATGGAGTAAGACGTTGGTAGGCGTGAGGAAGAGGGGTGCCCCACGGCTCTCCTTCCTATCTTGATATAATATGCCTAGTTTGTGGAGAAGATCCCTCATCCTGCTTCTTTTGTGCCTCCTAAGGATGTTATGGGCCATGTTGGTTGAGAGCATGCATTAAATCAATGGGTTGGTAGGTCTTGAATTTTGAAATATTTTTTAATGTGTTCGTATGTAGTAGTTAACTACATTTGTAGGTCTTTGTTTACTCAAGACTTTACAGTAATGTAATTAAATACATTAATAACCATACCAGGGAGCTTTGGTTATAGTCCTGAAAGTTTTTTATTGAAAAGTTTGTAGTTCACCGTATATCTGTGAAGCATAGGTCCACTTTATTAATAATAAATTAACCATTAATTGGTTATTTATTAAATTTGACCTATGGTCATGAAGCGAAGAGAGAACAATGTATATAAAGTTACGAAACTATTTTGAAATAGTTATCTGCAACGATAATAATAATACCTGTAAATTATTTGCTTCATATTATTATTTGATAACATTATTTCCTTGAACGACTGTGCATTATGTTTTGACTTTGCTGTCATCGAGTCGCTTCCAGTTGGACAAACTGTATCAGTCCAGTGAAATTTCTCCAGGGAGCGGTAGATCCAGAGGTACAACACCGGTAGAAATATCCCCATAAATCACCCCCCTCCAACCCCCCGGTGTCCCTGCCAACCTACTTCTGATAGCGATCGCTCTCTGTACACTGCTTCTCCTTCAGCATGATTGATACATTTCACTCCGGTAATTCATTAGTCTTATGAATGGAGGCCGGTTCGTTAATATCAATTAGTGATTTCCGTCGTTCGTCGTCTTCATTCATTCATCTCTAGTCTCAATTATCTGAGAAAAGTAATAGGCCTAGTAATGGTGATTTATTTACCTCATAATCGATTATCAAAATGAGGCTACTTCCTCAACTACCTCATGTAAATGAAGCATAATTTAAAAAGAAAGAAAATATTTAGGTTAATTTACGTATTTTATGAATTATTGATACATCACATATATTTCAATTACCTCTCTATTTTCGGTATAATTTTTTTTGTCTATAAAAAATGCATTTGCGTCTGTCAACTTATTTTAGTCTTATACAAATTTATGATCATTTATATGAATTATGACTATTCCATACATTATATATTTTTAGTTTGTCAAAATTCTACATAAATGTTTAAATTTTTCATTTATTTTCTATGAGAGCATACATTTTCTTTTTAATAATAAATGATAAACACTGCACCAATATCCCAAAGACTTTTAAATTCACTTCTCGGGAAACACTTAAAAATAAAAATTAGACGGAAATTGAGTACATACAATTAATTACTAAAACCTATTATGCAACACAGATATTTAGAACATATAAAAAAAAAAAAATTCACATAAACAGACTTCAAATCTTTCAAGCAAAAACATTCAGGACAATCACAAAAGTACGTTATCAACATAACCTTACACACTTCATATGTCGACAGTTACGACACGTACGAAACCACCATTCCATGACAAATTACAAGGACACCCTAACATACTCATAAATGACATGGCCACAACACATATTCCTAGGAACGTCCGTAGAAGGTTGAAGAGGTGCTGGATGAGGGACCTCCTCGCCTAATGTAGATATGGCTGGGTATTGCTTTTTCACGTGTCTCTCATGCAATGTATTCTATCAGAAATTATCTATTTCACTGGATATCATATTTTTTTTTTGACTGATGTGAATAAATATTATAAGTTAAAAAAAATAACTACGACAATTAGAAGTCATTAGTTTTTTTCTCACGTTTCATTAAAATCTAAATTTGTTTGTTTTAGATATTGATTTATATAAAATATTTGTTTTTCCAATAATTTGTTATATACATCATACTTACATTACTACTGTTATTAACGGATATTTGTTTTGTTTTTTAATTATAATCATTTTGTATTACAATTGATAATAAGACCTTAATTAGTTCTAAAAATCGAAATTAAATGAACTTTAGAGAAATAAATTATGTAAACACGTCAATTAAGACCTGTTAGAATATTTCAATGAGGATAAGAACTAAGGCATATTAAATACCATTTTATTTCATGTCAATATAATTAGTTTAGATAAGTGTAAAACTTATATATTTATACCACTTTAGCTAATGAAAATATCTCTAACTGTGAGATGAAGAGCTAAAATCTGAAAAATTTTGTTTTTATTTTGTTCTTTTTATTATTGTTTTCATTTTTTTTATTTGTTATCTTAAATCTTCATAATTATTTAATATATCTATATCATAAAAGGTTTGTGTATGTGCGTACGTAAACAAATAGAAACCCTGCAGAAGGTATATCTAGCTGCGCAGAGCGGTGAGGTATTGCGGGCACTGTATAGGCTGCCCCGTGACGAAAATGTTAAACTTGTTTGCTTGTACAACTTTTTTATCACCGTTCCTTTAAAATTAATAAATTAAGGCTAAATAAGTATTACTATATTTACAATAATTTAATTTTGAATATTTTACTATTACTTTATTGTGTAAGTTATTATATTTTCCAACATCTTTCATTACAACTAGTTCCACAAATGTCTCATGCCATTTTTCATATTTTTTTTTTAATACGTTACCTCACTACACCAGATGCCCCTAGTGACTGAACCGTCATTAGTGGTCGCATGGACCAATCTCCCGTAGGCACCTGTAGGCGATCCCTTATTGGCCGAGAGCTTATCCAATCGGCGTCGAGAACCAATAAGGGACATCATTAATCAAGAAGTGACAGGAAGAGGACCTTATTACAGCCCCTCCGATATGGCCTTATGTCACCTCTCTCTGATCAATGGCTCAGTCTTCACTAATGGTTATGTAATGGAAGAAAAAATGCTTTTATATTAGTTGTTAATATATTTATTATTAATTTTATATACATTACATTTTAACCAAACTAGGACAAAACCATAAGGGTTACGTTGAAATAATATTAGGTTGCGTATTTGGCTTAACCACTTTTAGGTATGTAAACACTTTTTGAGTGGCTGGACCAATTTTTAAATTTAAACATCAAATTTAACGAGTGAGATGTATAAAATGTATTTAAACTATCCTTTTTTTCTTCTTTTCGTCGCCTTTTCGCTATATTGGGTTTCTCCAAGCCAGGAAAGAGGAAGGAATAATATAGAGTTAAATGCTCCACTACTCTCGAGCGGGACTCGAACTGTTTTAAAATGTGTTCGATCTTTCAGTTACAAATGATGTAACAATTTTTTTTTTTATTGAATGGTTAGAATGTTTTTTGAAATCACATGGATTTTATTAAAAACAAATTAGGCTCACTAACTAGTTACTAGTGCAGTACTAACTACTAACTAGTGCACACTAACTAGTTATTGTATAATATTTTTATTCCCAATTTGCCGTTGGTTTCATAAAATATCTTGTATATATTATGATCATATGTTTTTTAACATTACTATGTTCTTTTTTATCATTATTATGTTTTTCCTCGTTATCAAGCTCATGATCATATGTTATGAATCTAAATTATCAATAACTAAACAAATTATTGCCTTAGAATGTATAGGATTATCCTGTAGTAAGCTTTTTTTTTTCAAAATTATATTATTTTTATTCATAGTTATAATTTTCATTTCATCTCATTTGGTATACTCTCTCTCTCTCTCTCTCTCTCTCTATATATATATATATATATATATATATATATATATATATATATATATATGTATATATATATATATATATATATACATATACACACACACATACATACATACATACACACAAGTCCCTCTCTGCTATCAACAGCTGATTGATCATAAAGTATAGTCAAACAACACTACCGTTTACAATTATTTAAATATTACAATAATAAGGTTAATTTAATTTAATTTTCATGAATAATGGTTAAATAAATTGAATTTAATGTTCATTTAATTATATTTTCTTTAATTAAACCAGTATTACAACTTGAGCTGCACAGAGGTACACGTGAGCCTTTAGAGCTTATTGTATTCGCCGAACTGTCGTTATGAATGGCAATGAAGTAGACAAGACTAATGGGTCGAAGAGGGGTGGGTTCGAAACACGTCCAGAAGGACGAGGGTTATTCCTAGCGGCCGCATGTTGGCAGCAGTGTTTAATTAGCGGCAGGCAGGTTAGGTAATGCGGCCTCCAGATCTCTGTGGTAGCTAGAGATTAGTTCTCAGGTTTGGCAGCTAAATGTCTCTCACTGGCAAAATAAATTAGGCGAATATATATATATATATATATATATATATATATATATATATATATATATATATATTTACAACTTTTCCTTCATCGACCTTTGAGTATTAAATTCAAACTTCACTATTTTATTGGGAATAAGGTCACTTAATTTTTTTTTTTTTTTTTTTTTTTTTTTTGCTGTTTGGGTAACTATTGCCTTTCAATATTTCTTTTATTCTTTGTATATTTTCTTCTTGAAAAGAAACTGAACTTAGAACAATAGCTCTATGAAAGTGACCTTACTCCCAATCAAATAGTGAAGTTTGAATATATATATATATATATATAACTAAATGAAAAAATATATTTAAATCATCCAAGGTGTTTAGGCTTACATGGTGTTTTGTAGGAATATAGCAGACTTTTTTCACATTATTTACATTTAATGAATCATTATTTTATTTTTTATTTAAAGATGTATTAGTTTATAATGGTGAGCTTCGCCAGTGAAGCCAAAAGTGATGTTGAAGAAAATATCGTACACCTTGACAAGTTACCCCGAGTGTGATACATGCCTACGATAGCCGATAGGTGGCGGCTTGAGAAAAGAAAAAGTAAAGAAAAAAATACTGTTTGGCTATTCAGAGCTGGTGGAGAGAGATGGCGGAGAGAAAGGAGGGAGATAAGCAGGACAAAGGACACCTTGCACAGCGCTCCCCCGACCCTCTCCTTCTCTCTCATTTATCGCCGTATTTATATTTTCCACTGTCCTCTACCAGGCCACCGTATCTTAGCCTAAGTTACTTCTATAGCGTGGTTATAAAACGTTCCCATAACTTGGTATAATAATTTTTTTTTTAAATTTATTTATTGAATATTACAACGATAGTAAGATCACATTCTCACTATATGTACAAAACATATAAAATAAGCAGAAACAAAATAAATAATACTCAAAAAGTACATACAATAAATAAAATGAAATAACTCAAAAATAAGAAAATTAAAAAAAAAAAAAACTCATACACTATACTATTTAGTCCGTGGTACAGACCCCTTTTTATCAAATTATTAACATCCGACTGAAACGAAAATAGTTTCATTTCATCGTAACCTACAAATATATTATTTGCGAAAATTATCGGAATACTGCAACCTATAGGTCGTCAAACTTTGTATATTTAATTAGGTAATAAAAACTCGTAAATAGCCATTTGCTTTCCACTTTAATCGTAAGATAGCTTGAGCACGAATTCGAGAAAAAAGGTGGCCATCAAAAATATTGATCCGTTTGGCGTGACCTACACTCCAAAATTGTCAAAATAACGAGGTTATATAGGCCAAACGCGTTATCGTTTTTAAAAGCACCTTTTTTCTCGACGTTTTGCTCAAGATATCTTACTGTTAAAGTGGAAAGCAACTTGGGTAGTTACGAGTTTTTAGTATCTAATTAAATAGACAAAGTTTGCTGACCTCGAAATTTAAAACGCCCAATTCGGAGAATTTTCGTAAATAAAATATTTGTAGGTTACGATGAGATAAAGCTATTTACGAAGGTTCAGCCGGATTTTAATAATTTGATAAAAAGGGGTCTGTACCACGGATTATTTTACTAACAGGCGAGTGAACTCCAAACCAGGCTTGTGCCTCCAACTATGGAGTGAAAAGTAGGACTTCAGGAGATCCATGCGTTGCTCTCTCAACTATATCACTAAAGCTAGCAGAGGTTGATCGAGAGCGCTTTTGCCACACACACTCATATTTTGAGTGGAGAATCTCTATCAAGCACCACCCACCCCTATAATCCTCCAAGAAGGTTAAAACGACAGTAGTCCCGCGACCTTTTGTAGTTTGTAGTTCTGTCAATGACAATTGCCGTTTTAACCTTCTTGGAGGATTATAGGGGTGGGTGGTGCTTGATAGAGATTGTGCGATATGATTTTTACGATACCTAAGATTTTGGTGAAATTTGAGGAATTTTTCTGGGATAAGGTCTAGGAGAAATAGAGAATTTTGAGGTCATGGTGTTGAGTCCAACTTATTAATCTAACTACTGTGTACAGTGAACTACTGTGTCAGTCTGGAATTTAATTATTGTTAAAAAAAAAACTGGTGGATATTATTAATATTACTTGTAATTATTTATTAAAAGTAACAGTTAAAATAACATATTGTTTATTAGATAATTGTTTAATAATTTAACGGTCTGCTACATACTTGAGACCACCGTCGAAGAAGTTGTGACGGTGCGAAGGGTTGATGATGATGTTGCACACGTGGAAATATGCTTTGTAACTGAGTTGTTACATACGAATTCCCCGCGAGCTTCGCCTCCCTTACTCCCTCTTCTATTTAGCCTCGAGAATATCAAAGCTACCTAGGAATGTGTAAAACTATCTTACTATGCGGCGAGAGCTGCGTTGTGTCTCCTCAACGTTTAGTTTTTTCTCTTTACATTTATATTAGTCCGGGAGATGATTGTTTGCAAATTATTTAGAATGGTATCTAGGATGTAAACAAATATTTCACAAAATGACTGATTATCAAAATTTACGCCAAAATGTATAATTTTTTCATGAGGAAAAGACAAATAATCAAGAAAATTTGTCTGGCGAAGTATTTACTGAATTATTTTAACAGTACATGTCCAGGCAAAAATTTCTCATGCTGTTTATAACTTTCTTTTTTTTTTAATGGTTCATATTTTGTTCTAAATCATTCATAAAGACCTCAATAAGTCAGTATTTTGGCCCGATCCAGATCCTCAATTCATGATAATCCTTCTAGGCGTCTAAAAGGAAGAGGGCCTCGGAATCTTGTTACTCAGAACTATTACTAGGGGTTAGTGTTTAGAGTTGTATCTCGAACATTCTGTCCACGCTATTATTCTTGATTTTCACTTTTATTATTTCTATTTTTTTTTAATAAAGTTCTTAATTTTTACTTGTATATGCGCCTGATAACTCTACGCAGCCATAATCCATGGATCTAGACCGATTTTTATCTGATCTTGAACCCGAGTGGAATGTGACTGCCAGATTTATCTAAAGGGATGAGGTACGGAGGTACTGGAGACCTGCCACTATAGCACGGAGAACATTGTTCGTAGCAACGTGAGGTTCGGTTACCATCTCCAGACTAATGTGCTCTCGTAAGTAATGTACGTCTGTAAGGAAACCATATTTCGCGACCAAAGATCTTTATGGTCTATAACGTCATCCAAAAAAAAAAAAAAAAAAATATATATATATATATATATATATATATATATATATATATATATAAAGGATATAATTAATGTAAAGCGAACTTTCTAAGCTCATAAACACGCACTAACATGTATCCTTTCCGTGGTCATTTTCCGACAATTTCTCATCTTTTTTTCTAGCAGAATGACTTTCTGAATAAAACGAACGATTTGTGTTAGTAACTTATCATTCTCTCCAACAACTTCGAAGATAGAAACAATGAGGAATTCTGTAAAAAATAAAAAACTATTATTGTTTATTATACATTCGAATTTCATGTCTTCAATATATATATATAGTTGGTACACATCCAGATACTTTTTTAGATTTTATGTAATAATCTTATGTAAAGTCTTAAGATTGATATAAACTATTTCCAAAGCGTATGAGTCAAGTCTGAGAAACTGCTATGCAATAATTTTTTGTTTTCAAATAAATCAAGAGATCTTTTATATCTGTTAGTCAAATCTTCTGCTGCTTATGAGATAATAAAACATTTTTTACTCTCGGACAGTATAAATCTGATATGAAAAATTTTCATGACGAAATTACTATGGCGTAGAATGAAGAATATAAAATGTTAGATAAAACTAGCTTTATTAATATGTCGGTATGAATAAAATTATTAAGCATAGGAACTCTTATGTAGAGTAATGAGAGTAAGTAAAATGTAATTAAATGTTCTTATTCCCTTTTAAGCATTTTTTTTTTCTTAATGTTATTAATAATTGCTTGCTTTGTAATCAACTATTGTTTGTTTTTTTCCAAATATACATATTTCATCGAAACAAGAAAGGAATTAAATGAAATTTCTTTTTTCTTGTTTATTTAGCCTGTGGAATTAAGGTCGACTGGAACAATTTGAGCTAAATGGCGAGGGATATAGGAGATCCCAAGGTGTTGGGAAGTTGATGGTGGCACTGGAGCTGCTGGAGTTTGTTATTCCAGCGGTGTCCTGCCTGGAATTCAATTGCGGGGTCATCTTATCTGCCTCATTTGTCTGGGTCCCTTCAGCCACCTTCCTAATTTATAGTCTGAATTTATTTTTTACTCCCCACCGGGGTCTATCTTGAGGTTTATTTTGGTTTGTTATATTACATTCTATCTTTAATTTATATATGTATATATATATATATATATATATCCATGGTATAATTAGTCTTAACTTATATTAAAATGAAAATAATATTTTTTCTGTTGCAGGTTCGGCGCTGATGCAGATCGTTGAAGTGTACAAGGAGATCCAGGCCCAACAGATGAACATTGTATGTTATTTATAATTATTATCTTTTATTTTTTGCAATTTCAAAACGATTTTTATGAAAATATCTTAAGTATATTTCTAATTTCAAGAAATTTAGTGATAAAAGATTGATGAAGTTTTAATATTGGTTATAATTTGTTTAATGTTTATTGATTAATTGATTCAAAATTGTATCATGTTACATTATATAAATAACCAGTCAGTTATATACCAATTCAGGCTCTACCAAAACAAATATACGGATATGTAAAAATATTTTAGGGAGTTATTTTACAATATTGAGGGGGTTACATAATCCACATTAGTGTAGCACAAAAGAAGAAAAATGTTCTAATCTAATGGATTGTATAGAAACTTATTCTAAAAATATTATTATGAATATGAAAATAATGTGAACCTGTATCAATGATAATTTGATAAAAATAATTATGAGTTTGCATCCAGGGGTTTTCATTTTGGCATTAATCCCCCGCCCTCACCCCTGGCCCGAGAAAACCCCGTACAGCCGAAAAAGTCGAGGATGGAATGATTAAAAAAGATAATAAATAAAACCTCGAATTTTTTTTTATCTATTAACCCACAGTTATCTAATGTAATCTCTATTAGTTTGTTATACACTTATTCCTTATCTTTTATCGCAATCTGTTTACTTTTAACTTACATGCTATATTCTCCTTCATTTTTATTTTTATTCATACTTATTTTCCATTTATTTGCATTTTCTACATATATAATATTTAATATTTAACTACATTGTCACCCACTATATCTCTGATACCATCTTTTATTTTTGTATCTGACAACTTCTTCTTATTTTATATCTACTTATATTTATTTTTTATTTTCAACATGTTTTGTATCTTTTGTAGCCCTGAAGACGACCTGTAAAGTGGGTCGAAACGTCGGCAAAAATTAAAACAATTAACATATTTTAATTTAGTATTTATTTGACCGCACCGCCGACTAACTCCTTCTCATATTATATCAACGGTCAACCATCTCTACATCATTATTTATTTTTAATTTTCATTTGAATAAAATGTTAAATAAAATCTTCTGATGATTTTTTTTTAAGAATGTTTAAGAGATACAAGTTTCATTACATTTCTTGAAAAAAAAAATTTTGGTTTTGAAAATAAAATTATTTAACTCATCTCTTTTTTTTTAATATTCAAATTCAGTTTTAAAAAAACAAAAAAAAATATTTGTTATTAAGAGTGTATTTTTACATGAGAAAATAAAGGCTATTAGGATTCACTTTGGAAATAAATGAATCAGTCGTTCATTAAATACAAAGCGAAGGCTGGTATAGAATTATTTCTTGGGATTTAGCCAAATTTAACATTAGTACTTTTTGGCATTAATGACGTCATTACCTCAGTGATAATAAAATACCCAGCATGTTCTAGTTCACTGTATTATTATTATTATTATTATTATATAGTATCCTTTAGTATGATTATAACAGAAGGGTACAAACTGGGTGAGCACTGACAGAGGATTTGTAAGTTATAATTCCAACTCCTCGGTCCCTTTGAAATACTAATGACCTAGCTCAATTAATTAGTAAATTAGTAATAACTTTGGGGGGGGGAGTTGATGAAGGATACTCCTCCTCTTCTTCCTTTTATTCCTGCCCCGCTATCCTTAGCTCCTCCAGTATCCATTTATATCTGTCTTATATCCTTTATCTAATTCCGGGTTAATTGAAAACGTTGGGGTGGTTTTTTTCTCTTTATTTAATCCTGGTGAAAAATTTACTTAACGTTCCGGCGTTTAACAGTGTCCTTTAATGATGACACCTAAACAAATACTTCTACCATCAGGAAAGAAAATTAAAGTATTGTGAGAAATGAATGTTCTACAACTATAATTATATTTACATGTAAATAAAATAAATTTGAAAATATCATTTTCATTTTCATTAAGAATTAAAGTATAAAATAAACATATTTATTTTTCAGTTTATTTATGTACTTTTTAATTTATAAACAAATACTTCTACCATCAGGAAAGAAAATTAAAGTATTGTGAGAAATGAATGTTCTACAACTATAATTATATTTACATGTAAATAAAATAAATTTGAAAATATCATTTTCATTTTCATTAAGAATTAAAGTATAAAATAAACATTTATTTTTCAGTTTATTTATATACTTTTTAATTTATAAAAAGTTAATTAAATAATAAAAAAAAAATTGGACCCATCTTTTCATCCCAAAAAGATAATAAAATCTCTGTATTAAGAATTTAAAAAATTATGTAGTTACATTGTTTTTTTATTATTGTGTTTTTTATTTAATTTTTGGAATATATATTTGGTAATAAAACTTTTCTTGTTTTGAAGAGATACAAACTGTGGCTTAACTGGCAAAAGGAAGATTTTTGACGTATATTTAAAAAATATATATATTATATGTATGTTATTTTTGAGAGCTTCAGACCGAATGCCCCATCCTTGAATCCTACAGAAATATCTCCGTACGTCCACTTTCCGCAGATTTTTTTCCGAGCTATTGAGCCAAATTTTTTTCTGATTTGGTTACCACGAGTTGATCCTCGAAATCTGACATGATCATTTGTCATTTAGCTTCATAATACCAGCCAGCTATATGTTTCGTGTACCCATATAAAGATAAAGGACAAATATAAAGAGTTCTGAATTTTTTTTTTTTTTGATTTATTATCTCAATTTGCCTCTACCCGAATCGATACCGATAAGGCATTGGCAATTCTTTCTTCACTCCAGTTTTCTATATTCTATTGTAGAATCCGGGTTTTTTCAAAAAGCTCATCAGAACTTCTACATCTTTCTCAGTATCTTTTAATATTTCCTGAAGAGTACTGTGTAGGTTGAGGTTTTTTCTTGTGGCTGCATAATATTCACAATCTACGAGTATGTGGCTCACGATTCAAGGGGTATCACATCTGATGCAGGTAGGTGGCTCTCGACCGTGGAGTTTTGAAGTTTAATAAGTCTTATGAAAAATAAGATCAATAAATAAGCATAAATAAAATGCTTTTTCGGTTATTGAAATTCTGTGCCTTTTCTCTCCTCTGGCATTGTTCGAATCAAGAAATTAATCCTCTATTTATATTTAAATGTATTATAAATTATGATATTATTTTTATTACATTATTACAGTATACACGATTTTTTTTTACATTCTCAATGTTTTGTGTTCTGGGTAAGATGGAATAATTCGGAAAGTTATTCTCAGTTGGCACTTTCTGTAACTTGTTTCTAGATTTTATTAATTTCTCATGTTTCTAAATGATATAAGCTAACATTTCTCATAAAATGAATTATTTTCCTCCTCAACATATGGACATATATTCCATTATTTTCATTATAATTTGCTGAGGCATTTCAAATACTGAGTTCTCATTAAACATTTCAATCCTCATTTATCTTCCCTCAAAACATAATTTTATCTGAACATTAAATCATATCAATTTTAATTTAACCTTATATAGAGAAAATCTTTTTCAATTTAATATTTTTTTGTATATTTTTATATTTATTTATGTGATTTCATCTGCATCTTCATTAACCTTCATAATACGCAGGCATCTCAAATCCTTAGATAGGCTCTAATACTCGACAAACTCACTTTTAAAAACATTCACAAACCTATTAGATGGCGTACATACGTTAGAAACATCTTACTTAACTAAGAAAAATAATTGACAAAACGCTAGTGAGCCCCGTCAATAGACCAAGATACATAATAAATAAAACATATCAGTACTCCAAATTCTCCACCCCTCCCTTAAATTAAAATTCACCTTATGCAATAAAATAGGTAATATTTAATCCTCGTACTATCCCCTCTTCTCAACATCACATCCCATGATGATGTGAAATGAAATCATTTGGCTTGCATTTTGCATAGCGAAACTAATTTCTTTGCGTATATGTTTCTTGTGAAATCAGTGTAACGGGTATAATAGTCCGTGGCACAGACCTTTTTTTAGCGAATTATTAACATACGCCTGAAACTATCAGTAGTAAACTAGTAGCCTACAACTATTTTATTTACGAAAACTCTTGGAATTGCGGCGTTTTCAGACTGGAGGGAAGCAAACTTTGTCTATTTAACTAGGTACTAAAAACTCGTAAATACCTATTTGCTTTCTACTTTGATTGTAAGATAATTTGATTACATAATCGAGAAATAGGGTGGCATTCAATAATATTGAGCCGCTTGGGTTGACCTACACCTCAAAATTTTTAAAATAACGAGAGTATATAGAACAATGGGCCCAATATTTTTGTAGCCCACCTTTTGTGATCAAATTATCTTACGATCCAAGTAGAAAACAAATGTGTATTTACGAGTTTTATTAGCTAATTAAATAGACAAAGTTTTCCCCTCTCCAGATTGAAAACGCCCCAATTCCAAGAGTTTTCGTAGATAAAATAGTTGTAGGTTACGATGAGATGAAACTATTTACGAAGTTTTAGGCAAATGTTAATAATTCGATAAAAAGAGGTCTGTACCATTGACTAGTAACTAAATTCCAATTAGGCACCCTAACCTATCAAGTTACACATGGCACCAAAATACAACCAACTAAACTAAATTAAAATACTTTTTTTAATATCTAACCATCTGCTTTTTGGCCTTCCATGTGCTATTTTTCCTTCTTTTGAGGCATTATTTGTTAGGTAGAGGCTTCCAGATGGATTGCTACGAGCTACATACTCCGCCCATCTTAACCTCCGTGCCTTCATATCATGGGATATTGATTGATCAGTTTCTGTAAGCAGTTCTTTATTAGTATTTCTTCTCCATATGTTCGTACTCTGATCCCAGATCGCTCCGTTTATCGTGCGGATGATTTTTCTCTCAAATCTTTCAACACTTTTTTCTAGGGTGCTGGTTAGTATCCAGGTCTCACAGCCTTATATTAGAACTGGCTTTATCATAGCATTGTATATCCTTAATTGAGATTTCTTGATATTTTTCGGGATTTTAATACCTTTGAAAGGGA